CACCCTGGCGCCGCAGTTCCGCCTGCCCCGCAGTTCCGCCCTGCCCGGCGCCCTCCGCAGCCCGCAGGGCGGCAGCACCGGGCCCAGAGCGCCGCGTTCCGGGCTCCCCAGGCAGGGGCCTGTGAGGGAGGAAGGTCCGAACTGTCGTGGGCCTGGGCCAGCCGTGGCCTCCAGGGCTGGGTGCGCTCCTGAGCAAGAGCGCCAAGTCCCATCACAACCCACAGGGATTTTCTTCCTTACCAAAAGATTATCCTCGCATCTGGAAACTAACCTTCAAAAAACCTTCAGACACATGTAAAATTTTAATCTTTGCACATACAACTTATTTGAAACTCTGAAAAGTTTGAATCTCTAAAAAGAAGGAATGGGAAGAGGAAGAACGTGTGAATGGAGATGTCAAGGGAAGTGGATAGGAACATGGGAGTGTATGAGAGACCCGTGCATGAGTTCACAAAGCACTTAACAAAATTAAAAAGTCGCTGTATCTTTATGTTAGCACAGAGCATGTGAATAGTGTTTCTTTCAGAGAAAGGACAGAACACAGCAATAATTTTCAGTAAGATCCCAAAGGGAAAATAGATCCAAGTTTCAAGTCCTCTGTGCCTCATTATTCTTTGATTTCCCATACATTTCAGATTTGCTGCAGTGTGTCTATAATAAAAAGAAGTAAATAATGCAATTGGAGAATTCTTTTATCCTCACACCTTATGGCAGTCTGTGTTCAGAAAACTCTTACCTTTAATATCCTCATAGCTTTCCTCAACCTAAATTAAACCACAGGGACAATACAGCAAGTTCACTGTGCATGCAGATTTCCAGAGTAACCTTTCAGCATGTGCATCGCCTGGCACAGGGAACAGGGAAGGGAAAACACTCCAGAAGCCCTACAGAAACAACCATTTACTCATCCTTGCTCCCTTCATTGAATTAAACACTAAATCATTTCCTCCTGCTTTAGATGCTATAAGGGGTCTTGAGGCTGCTCAAGGCTTTGCCCCATCAGGGCAAAGGGATAACCTCAGGGATGGAGACCACACAGCCTCTCCAGGCTCCTGTCACAGGACTTCACTGTCCTCATAGGTATCATTTCCCTCCCTATATCCTGTCAAAACCCTCTTGTGACAATTTGTGACCGTTGTCTCTCTGCTCCCACCTCAACAAAAAGCCTGGCCCTGTGGTCTCGGGAATGTCCCTGCAGGCACCAGCAGCTGCTGGGGGCCCCCCGACGTCCCCCCTTCTGGAGGCTGAGCAAGCCCTGTGCCCTCTCCCCTCCTCACCGCGCTGTGCTCCTGCCCCTGCCTCATGCTGAACTTCCCACATTGGTCAATACCTTCCTTATACTGCACCCATCCAAAATGGGATGCAGTATTCTAGACTCAGTCTTACGAATGGCAAGTAAAGAGGAGCAACGACTCCCCTCAATGGGGGAGCTATTAGGGGGTTAAAATTAAGGTGATGCACAAGTACACACCAGAAAAGGTTATGAAAATGGACATGGTGAAGCCATTTTGCAGGTTTACCTCCTTTTCTAGGGTGTTTTAATAGATGATCACACCATGTGACAGTGACAAATGCATTCCAGCTGAGATAAGATATGTGGGTCATGCTGACTTTGCAACACTATAAACCACTACTGGGGATAACACAGCCTCTGTGAGGTAATTTGCCTTATTCAGATGAAAAGATAAATGTGAATTAGCAGGGAAGAGGCTGCAACATTTGAGCAGTGCTATTGATCTCCTAAAGACCTAGATAAGTCACAGAGAAACGAATGCTTGCTTTGCTTGATGTTAGTGATGGATGGGATAGCAGATCTAGCAGCTAAGGGGCTGTCTCTGTCAAGAGAATCATAGCACTAACACTAGATATGTTTTTAATTATCTTGCAGTACTGGGAAGAGTACTCATGGTAGCAGGAAGCATCTTTTACTTACGTTTAAACAAAAATATTATGAGCAAGTAAAATATTCAGTTCTTCGAATGTATTCAAAAAATACAACTGTATCTGACTAGAAACCATTGTTTCAATTAATATTTAGCTCTAGCATTTTCAAGGAATAAAGAGAATTAATGGAATGTCTCAGTCCAGAAAGGCTGTTTGTGGCAAGGACATGAACAGAATTTGTCTTTCAAGGACATGGGTTTTTCTTTGCTTTTGGGCTTCCATCTTTACCTATCAATGAAGAGTAAAAGCTGTGCATCTAAATACTGACATAACTAAAAGATTTCACTGCATCTATATCTGCAGTACTGCATAGCATGATTTTTTTTTTGATAAAAACAGCTCTTACCATTACCTATTAATACTTATTACTGACTCATTTAAATTTATCAAACACTCGCCTACTATTCCAAGGATTAGACACAGGTTTTAACAACTGAATATATAAATTCCAAAGACCATAATTTTATTCCAGTGACATAGATAAGGAGACTTTTGCTGATTAGGCATGAAATTGTTGCTTTTATTTCTAATAAATAGACAGGAGAACACTGAGTTCCGAGGTAGTTTGCAGAGAGGATGTTCAAGAATAGAAATTGTAAGATAGTGCAACTAAACCTGTTTCTGCTTCTGTGCCAGCAGATGGATTAGTCCCTTCTAGACTTAAGTTCTGACAAAATCATTTTTCATCCATCAGTCTCTTACCTCCTCACAATCCTTGTCCTTTCTTTGTTTGCACGCTAGCAATACCAGAAAACATAAATGCTTCTTGAAACATGAAGACCAAATTAGTTTGGACTCTGCAGAAAAAAAATGAGCAATCAGGACACAGTTTCTTCAGTCACAATATCAAACCTCTTTCCAGCCTAAAACTATCTGTTCAGGGTTTGTTCCAAGCAAAGCTTTTGGCAGGCTGCTCCTTTCACTCCTTCTTTGAGTGTTTCTGTATTCTCTCCCATTCTCACTACTCTAAACAATACTAAGTTTGTGACTTCTGCATCCCTCCCCAACTGATGCTTTCTGCCAACATCATTTATGCAGCTTTGTAATGTTGCAGCCCTATATTTTATAGCACTTCTTATTGATTCCCTATTTTGATCTACAAAGGTGAATTGCTTAGATGCGTCATGAATAAAAGACAGCGATTATAGTATCAGCATCAACCAGGTTGCACACAATACCCAACATAAGAGTGTGTTCCATTCAGTGAGCTGGGAAATGAGCTCTCACAGCACACAGAAAAGCCTGAGCTCTCTTGCCAACTGGCTGCCTGGCAAGCAATTCTGTTAGGGTTACAGAGCAGGGCATTTCTCTTGTGCATTTGGCACAGCCTTGCTAGCATTTACCGATTAAAAACAATTAGAGAGCCATGTCCACCATGCTCTTTTTAATCAAAAGAGCAAGCACTGGGGAGAAGCCAAGCTGCAGCTACCAGGCAAACCTGCTTTGCCCGCAGCCATTTTGTTTTAAACAAATACATTACTTGTGTATAAAGATGATTGCAAAAATCACTGCTATAACCACATTTTTGGTTTGTGCAACAAGAGCTTTTCTCACTTAATCATTTAGTCCAAAAAGAAACAAATAATAACAACAACAAAATAAATAAGCAAACTCATGCATCAGTCCCCAAAAGGGCTGAGTGTGATGCGCACGTGACCCTGCTGCCTCAGTCCAGCTCTGGCTCCAGCACTTCGTGCTGCCAGGCTGCTCGGAAGGGCTCGGGAGCTGCTGCAGACGCTGCTTCCCAGCCCAGTGCTAGGACAGCTGGAGGAGGCCCTGAGCCTGTTCAGTGAATTCCCTGATGTTTTATTCAGAAGCCTGTAGAGAAGAGCACACAATGGTTAACGATACATTTCACTGCTGATAAAACAGCAATTTTAAACTCCAGAACAATGAACGGGCAAATCGCCCTGGTTATTGCCAGGGCTCTTTGGGACCAGCGCTGTCCATGGTGAGGCCTCACCGTGGGGCACCGGTGGCCGCTGGCCCCCCAGGGCCATCCAGCAGGCGAGATCCCTCGTGCCAGCTGGCTCCGCACCCCGTCCCAGCCCGGCAGCGCCAAGAGCCGCGCACGGGGCCTGGCCGGGCCCTCTGCCGGGCCGGCCTGCGGAGCCGAGGCCGCAGCAACCCCCAGGCACAGGGGCCGCTCGGGCTCATCTGCCCGCACCCAGCGCACACCTTGTTCCTCCCGAGCAGGAGACATGGGACAGCAACCTCCCCGACCGCCCTCGAGTTATCACGCTTGTATTGCCATGTACTCTCCTCTTGACTCTGCCCAGCACCCAGAAGCGCCTCCCCAGTGGGTTATGGGGCAGGATGGGGTCAACCTTCCACAAATACCTTCATCACCGGCCCAAGGCTCTAGTCTGCTCCGAGAAATGCTCCCAAGAGCCAAACTCACACTTGCTGCAATGATAATGAGTAATTGTATACAGTTTGTATATAAAAAAACAGTTGCATTCCTTGTACAATAAGCAAAATGTTAGTTTTTTTTTGAAATAAACAATTATACCGAAATTATATTTCCACAATTTAGAAACCAACCCTAATGTAATTTGCTACAGCTGGACACCACCTGCAGAGCACTCTTTAAGTACTCTGAACATTACATACTTATCTTTTAAATATTGATAATGCCATTTTTCATTTATGTGACATGAAGTCCCACAGGGAATAATTATGCTAATAAACCTTAATGATTCTTGCAAATAAATGATCAAACAAAATTGCTACTGTTGATTTATATTAATGGATGCCTTTAGGAGGAGATTTGTCAGAATGTGCTGCTTCTTGAATCCCAATTCATCTTATTTAGCAGAAGAAAGTATATAGTTTGTAAAATAGATTAAATGTTTAAAATATAATGTGTTCATGAAAATGTTTAAAATATGTGTTCATGGAATTTCTGCAGTTGATAATGTTCAAGTATTACCATCTTGCCTTATGGCAAATCTGCATTAAATGGCTTTGTATACAACTTTCTTTAGCCCTTTCTTTTCCTTCTTCTCTCCTTGGTGGCTAAGAAGTCCTCCTTTTGAAGATCTTTACCTTAACCTTCCTTTCTGTTGCCCATGTAAGAATTTGTGATCATTTTGTGGTCCTAGCGGATGAATACCATTTGTTAAACTATTTTGTTTTCCCAGCAATTAGTCCAGAAACATTCTTGGTGCTTTTACAAGGTCACATCGTCTGAAGAGTGCTGACCTGGGGAATTTTACAGGGTACGCGAAGATAAACTTGGACAGTTTTTTTCCTGCTACTTTCTGAT